TTTTTGGTTTCCCACCCGGTGTCCGGTATCCGCATTAGAGCCTGACTATATTCGGATTCGCGCCGCGTAGGGCCCCACTCGGGGGGAAGCGCTCGTTACCAAGGAATTGTCGATACCTAAGGCTCGAACCCGAGACCTCTGATTAAGGAAGGAACGGTCTCATCCACTGTACCACATGGTAGTGGGTGGTGCTATGTTCCAAGAATAGCATCAGAATAAGATAAGCATAAGTATCCAAGTTTTGGCTATGCAATCTTTTTCTTTATTAACTTCCTCCTACCCGTGGCGGAAGCCGGATTATATTAAAAAAAATGCAAAAAATATAATTTATAGAAGCAAACACACAAGAAGCAAGGAAATTGAACATCTACTAAATAGACATAAGAAAATAAGTATTCATGTTAAAAAGAAGATCTCTCTTTTTCTTCATACTTAGGAGGAATGCGCATCAATAAAACTTTCCTTCCATATAGCAATTCTTTTTCACATTCAATCATGAGAGGGCAACTTGAACAATTAAAGCTATGCCCTCTTACACTGTTGACTATGAACAATTTACAGCTAATGATCAAATTCTAGCAGATCAAACATATGGGACTTAAGGGGGGCCTAATTTAAGTTTTCAAACAAGTGATGATTTAATGAAAGAAACTACTAGTAGGGATATGAATAGAGTCTCGCTCAGTAAAGAAAGTTGTAAGATTCATTAAACAGAAGAAGAGCATTACTTTCGAATGATAACTGCTTCTTCCTACTGCGAGGGCCTTGCACGAAACCAAACTGCCCCCGCCGGATCAAGGCTGAGGAAAACCTCTCGTTGCTGAGCTTGCCGTTAAAGACAGTGGCGGACTTATGTTTTCAAGTATGGGTGCTGAAGCACCCATTGACTTTGGCCAAATTTTGTTACCTATTCATAGATAATACTTAAAAATTTGAATAATTGACCATGAGCACCCACTATGATCATGTTTGACCACTGTAAATTTACACTAAAATTAGTGAAGCACCCACGACCTATAAATCTTGGATCCGCCACTGGTTAAAGAGTAAGATGATGATTCTATAGCAGCTCCGATTCCTTCACCGAGAATGAAAAGTGATGAGCGGTGGTTAGATATAGGGGCTTCGCCAGCTTGGATTGGAAGGAAGGGCTTCGCTTTTTTAGGCTGGTTTTGATGAGCGTGGCTAAGTTCGGGATTCAATATCACTTTTCGCTTGAAGTGGCTCACCCAAGCGAAATTTTATGAACAAACGCTGATTTCAAAAAAAAGTAAAATTTTATGTTGGAAATTTTATGAACAAACGTTGATTTAAAAAAAAAAAGTGAAAATCTTTTGGAAAAAAGAGAAAATTTTCTTATGTCCAAAGGGGCTCTAAGTGTTACAAAATCATAACTGGAGGGGCGTCTCTAAATTATTCCTAAAATATTGTACACCACT